AAAAAAATATTAAACACTATCTCTTGAACTATTCTTGTTCGTGTATTTACATTTATTAGGATCTGAGGAATCACTAAGACACCACGTCACATGGCTAATTAGTTTCTTTATTTTTCGTTAATTAAAATTAATTATCGTTATAGGTATGAAGCTCCCCCACAGAAAAAAAAAAAATTAAATCCTGGATCCGCTAGTGGCAAGGACGAGAATAGTTAAAAGTTATTAAATTACACTATTCTGATCAATTAATTATTAGGAAAAATTATCAATGAACTTACTTTGTTGAAGTTTATGTTATTCACTTTTAAATTATATGTGATCCGATATGAGTTAAACTTAATTCATTATGAATTATGATAACAATATGGTGGACAGGTTAGTGATAATAAGGAGGAAACTACAAGAACTCTATAACTTGACGGCCCCAGCTACGACGGAGGCTCGCGGTCTCTCAAGTATTCCAAAGGCTATGGAAAACCCAAAATGTGGAGAGGCATCTTGAGCTGAATGCTCAAAAATCAGAAGAAAGTCTGTTTTAAGCTCCAAAAAAAGAAAGAGACTTAGAGACAAAATTAATATATCCCAAAAATTTGTAGGAATATTTACAATATTGCAGACATCATTAGAGCACAAATTACAGGAAGTAGAAAGCAGGAGAAAAAGTATTGAAGAGAATATATCCGCGATGGAGGCGATCTTTGGAAGATTTAGGAACATGATTCGCAGTCGCAGTCGGACAGACTCTTTGAATTTATCGCTAGCAGGTAACTGGTAGTAGTAAATAACCCATGGGCCACTTCCACGTTCTCTGGATCACACGACCAGAATTGGACAGACGTTACATTGGAAGATGTGGGACGAGCTCCGGCCACAAGGTAATAACTTTCAACGTGATATAGAAAGCAAGAGACTCCCACGGAATCGACGAAGTAAACGTGACTCTAATGGAAGATTGAAGTTCTTTCTGGCGTTTGAGGGAAAACTAGTGGATGATGATAGCACGCCGCGCTGGTTGACAACATAGATGACCTAGAATATAGGGTATTCAGCTTCACCGAGGCCATCCCCTCCAAAGACACAAGATGGGAATTCGCCCTGTGTTGTGGGAGCACGGCCAAGTTCCCACTTTATTTAAATTTGAATATAGTGAAGAACCAAGCAGCACTGCTGCCATGTCTTAGCATGGAAGAGAAGCAAATAAGACAGACATGCAGAATTCCTGAAAGAATTATGTCCACTTAAGACTGATGGCCAGCAAGAAAATTACATCTGTACAGCCTTTTCACAAGAGAAATGGGGTAGATACTCTAGAGGTCTAGCAAGGTGCCAGGTGACCGGGGAGAGAGAGAACAATGAACCACGTACCTGAGCCATTAATTTTCACCCACAACCTACCTAATCCACTTCAGTTAAAATAGTTTATAATATGCAGACCGAATTTATTAATACATTAAACCTTGATTGTAATAGATCCGGCTTTAATAACTCAAATTATAATACAAATAAAATATAGCAATCTGTTCAACCCCAATTTTTTTTTTGGATCTCCCCTTCATCGCATTTAAAGGCTATACGGGGTTTTCCCGAGCCAGGGGGTATGGGCGGAGATTTAAAAGACTCCCCCAGCCTTGGGACGCGAACTCGTGACTATATTTTATTATTGTATCATATATCAGGTGCCAAGGCAACGGCGGTGCTATGCACACATGTTAGCCCGTTCGGCAACCCCGCCCACCAACCCCACAGTTTAATTATAATGAAATCCAGGTACTTTTTGTTTAAGCGGCCGTTTTGAAACCTCACTTCTTATCTATGTTATCTAACGGCATGTCATCATGTCACATAACCTCCCTCTTCTTATCCCGCCAAATTTTTTAGTTATTGCATTGTTCAGTTTTCAGTTATTCCCGTATTACGTTCTTAACGTACTTATTAAATTGTTTACTTTTGGCCCGTTTGTGTTTATTTTTAGTTTTTGACCCGTTTGTGTTTATTTTACATTTTTTTTGTTTGTTTGTGACCCTTTGGTGTTTATTTTTCAATTTTTTTTTTCGTTTATTTTCGTCATATTATGGATCGTCTTAGAATATGGGATTTACCGTCTTCAGACTCATTCAACACATAGAACACACGTCTTCATACTCAACACATATTATTTTTCATTCAGTTTATTTTTCATTTTTTTTTTTTTCGTTTATTTTCGTCATATTATGGATCTTCTTAGAATATGGGATTTACAGTCTTCCGACTCACTCAACACATAGAACACACGTCTTCATACTCAACACATAGAACGATTGTGGGGCTCAGCTAAGTGGAGAAATAAAGTACATAGAGGAACTGCCAGACAACACCTCGATTCTTATTTGTGCGAATTTTTGTGGCGGCGGGTTCACAGAGAAGAGGACCCGTTCCTCGCTATTTTAAGTAGCATAAAACAATTTTGTCTTCTAAAATAAATAAGACAAAATTAAGTGAATAATTAACTTAAAATAATTTGTATATACGTTGTTTATAGTGTTGATATTTTTCTTTTCTATGTAAATATGTTCTTTTAAATTTGTTTTTTTTTTCAATTTCATTTTGATGTTTTATATGTACATATCTTCTTAAATTGTTTTTTTATTATTTCATTAATATATTTGTCGTCAAATAAAAGTATTTTTGTTGTTATTACATTTGTTTTTGTATCTGTTAACACTTTCAATAATACGAGTTTAATACAATAATACGAAGATGTGAAGTAGGAGATGGCTTATCACTGCGTTATGGGATTTGTCAGTGTTCAGGTTATAAACATTGGCAGATAGCAGTCAGTAGCGGCCGCTTAGACAAAAAGTACCGAAATACATTTACATACAGTTCACAGCAGTCAATTTAGAATCAGTGCCCTACATCATGATTATTTTGTCAATATCCCTGAGAAGGGAGTGGCTTAATAAATTAAACGGCCTGTCCCATTCATGTCGGACGCCGATCTTAACTGCGCTGACGAGAGTCCCTGACTTTAAGGCTCGGTGAGCATGTCAGAGGTGCAGTAATGCAAAGAGGCGTGCTGCACGTTTTGAGGTGTGCCGATCTGAGGTAGACTAGAAGGAAACTAGGTATGGAAACTGGGTATCCCACGGATCACTGACACGACAGCACGTCATAGCAGCGCTGAGGCAAGGGAATAATCCAACAGCCTTCTTGGAGTAAATCGCAGGTGTGTTCATTAAGAAGACATATATCGATCCATCAAATGTATTATGATAATTCAATTCCGAAGCTTGTCATGGTATACCCATCCGGTACGGACCTGTACACACCAAAGACCTCTGAGACCTCCGAAGTGCCGTGAGCAGGAAGAAATCTTGTCGAATCCCACTAGTCCAGCGCAAGCGCAATGACCTCTTGGAACTATCACTGATAAGAAGGAAGGAAAATAGATGAGGAAAAATAAAGAAGTAGGCTGTGCACAGCCTCGTTCACATAGCAGACTAAGTCCCCCTTTTATTGCTCCCAGTATTATTCATCTAATAATAATATAAATAAGAATTATATAATTATCAAAGAGTTTTATTGGCAGCAATGGCTCTCCTCCCTTCGGCTTACCCCTCTTTAGGCACAAGGGGCGCCATCCAGTAGCGATATATTTTAACTTTTTGATTTTGTTTTCGATATAAGGGTATTTTATTATTGGAGGCACAATTTTTAAAACTTTAATCGATTTTAAGATTGCATTATCGGATATCGATTTATTTTAATTTTCTGATTTGCATATTTTGAAGATGAGGCGATAGTCTAGGACGTGGGGTAGAAACCACGGTCACATATGACTTCTGTGACGTAGTTGCCGTCTCCAAACGCTTTTGTGCGATGTTTGTTAAAATGGTGCTAGAATTAATTAATATTTTATTAATTAAGTAACAAAAATTTGGAAATTTATAGAATTATGTTAAATGTATGTATGTGGGTGGGTGTATTTAGAGATAAATAAAAATAGTAGCGGTGAAATATAAAGAATTATTGTGGCCTCCATTAGCACTGCCTAACCTTACTTAAAGTGACCTCTGATGACGTGACCCCCCTCCCTCCCTTCACCTCCACCTAAGGTATAACGGATTCTGTCATAGACTGTAGCCCTTGCGGATTCAGGATCTAATAATTTTTGGGGGGGGGGGAGGCTGCAGCCCGAAAGATTTTTTTTTTCATCTACATATAACAATAATTAATTAGAAAAAAAAAGAAAGAAATTAACTACCTATATGAAATGGTGTTTAAGTGGTTCTTGAAGTCCTGTTAAATGTAATTACACGAACAAGAATACTTTAAGAGATAGTTTTTAATATTTTTTTTTCTATAAAACATGGTTATATTTTACCATTTTGGGGAGAGCCTTCAGCCCGAAAGACCCTTCCCTCCCTCCCGTAGATCCTCCTATGGACTATAGTCTCTCTCTCTCTATTAATTTATCCTATTTGGAGTATTATAATTATAGAGATGAATATAGTGCATGGATATCGAAATCTTCCACGCACAAATATAGTTACAAAATAAAATAGATACTGTCAATGATAAAAAAATCCTGAACTTATAAGTACATATAAACAGTATAAAATTACCTAATTAACTTAATATTTACCATTTGAATTTCATTTTTTTTTTTGTATTTAACTATTTTTTAAATATTTGCTGTTATAGTTTAATTTTAAAATAAAAGAAAAAAATAGCAAACTGAAAACAACTCAACTTCTCCGAAAATTGCTTGTTGCTGTGGATATATAAATACAACTAAGTTTATCAGAATGGTAAAAACCCTGAACTTATTAAGTTAATTTTAAACATGCCCGAATCATGATGATTTATGTTTGTCTTTTTATTTACCGTTTGTGTTTGTGGTGTATGAATAAAACGTATTGATCCGTCTCAAGAATACAGTTGTAGATAAAGCATCTATGTTTTTGGATATTTTAAGAGAAGTAGTAATAAATAAATTAGGATATTTAAATAATACTCACACATAGAACTGCACTGATTGAACTCAGCAATACAATTAGTCGGCTGTGCATTGCTTACAGTTGTGATGTTTTCAAGCTGGATTATTATTTCCAACATCGACTGATCTAAAAGAAACAGAAACAAAATGTTGAAAGAAGGAGGATCCAAAAACAGCCACCATGATATCTACACAATATATAATATGGTATTATAGACCCCTCGCTATATACAGCTCAGATCTTATTGGCCAAACTCCGAAAGATGATTCTAGAGAACATTTCCAACCAAAGAGTTCCATTTGTTTATATTTTTATTTTAAGTGGTCACGTATTCTATTTCATAGGAAGCGATAACACAAAAATTGTTTATTTTAGGTAATTAACGATTGCTTCATAGTGTGACAGTATCCACTTCCAACTAGTGTGACAACTTTTGACCTGTCTATGACAGACAATGCAAACCTCTGAAACCTTTGAAACATCTATTCACAATATCGACAAAAAAGTGTATACTTTTTGAGTTATTCGGAATTTAATTTTGCTATCCCTCGTAACTTTTTTTCCAGCTTCTTTTTTATACGAGAATAAAAGTTTTATTGAAATCGGTAAATCCGTTTAGGCGCTACAGTCTATAGCAATACAGGTTTTTCGGACGCCATCTTGAAAGGAAAAGGCGGATAGAAATGTCGATGAAGGAGGCTCATTCTCGGGTAACCTATAATTTTAAATCCAAAATTGAAAAAAATCGAACCAGTAGTTTCGGAGAAAATGCGTGGATGACGGATTTACAAAAAATGTTTTATTCTTTTTCGAATTCTATGTATCCTGAAACGTAAAATCTGAAATTTTGAGAGGGGGTTTAAGTTATTGAATTTTTTGTTAGATCACGATGGTTCAATATTGAAAATAATAAACCAAAAGCTTAATGATTTCAAGAATATAATCTAAAAATGAGTTTTAAAAATTAATATTAAAAGAAGAAAAGTTAAAAAGTACAATTTAAATATTAAAAATTACAAGAAGAAAAGTAGAAAAAAACAATAAAATTAAAAAAATAAATATTAAAATAAGAATAATTAAATAGTAAGTAAACTCGATATGTCAATGTACAATTAAATGGTCTTTAATATCAGCTAGGTCTGATCCTCATGGTGTCCCCCCCCTCCCAACATGGCTTAAATGTCCAATATTTAAAATGTCTTCCTCTAAAGTACCTTTAATTTGATTTATTTTAAAAGATCAACTTTCTTCCGTTGTCAGTAGTAATGCAGAAAGGCTTAATATAAAATATTATGAAAAAATTTGATAATCCATTAAAAGAGAAAAATCTTTTTTTAGGCGAATAATGAATTTCAGGAAATCGTAGTCACAATGTATACTTATAATATATAGTTAGAAAGCTGAGAATTGTGGAAAAGACAATGTCTAATATTTAAAGTCGTTGAAGGTAGAGTAGAGTAACAAAAAAAAGTTATAATTAATAATTCTGAAAATTAATATTATTTAATGGAGACCAACTGTTCTCATGTAGACTAAATTAAGTTCTCTAACTAAATTTCGACTTTTAAGATAACTTAAGCTGAGTAGAGTAAAATTCTGACTAAATGTGATTAGATTAAAAAATATGTTTATAACCTTAAATAAATTTACTGAAATTTATCCGTGGGATGTAACAGCAACATTTTCGCATAAATCCACTGACTGGAAGCACTTTATATCATCTATTTTATATATAGCATTTCCAAGTCAATTTCAACATTTTCCAAGTCAAATTAAACCTTTTCCAAATCAAATTAAACTTTTTCCAAGTCAAATTCAACCTTTTCCATTTCAAATTAAACCTTTTCCATTTCAAATTCAACCTTTTTTTATTTATTTAATTATCTTTAATTTTTCGATGCGTGGGTCTGTTATCGTATGAGTAGTTTTTTAAAATAACCTCCTTTTTAAGATTACGTGACTGCGTTTCGAATTATTTAAGTTTTTTTGACTTATTCGATATAAGGGTGTATTTTTATGTTTCCCGATCAGTAAATTTTGAAAATGACATCTATTTTATGTTTACGCCACTGTGTTTTGATTTATTTAAGTTTTTAGAATTTATCGAATATAAAGGTAAAGGTCTACTTTTTTGTTTCCGGAGCCGTAGATTTTGAAAACGACCTCCATTTTAAGATTAGGCCACCGCGTTTCGACTTATTTGAGTTTTTCGGATATTTTTCATATGAGGGTGTATTTTTATGTATCCGGAGCTGTAGATTTTGAAAATGACCTCCATTTTAAGATTAGGCCACCGCGTTTCGACTTATTTGAGTTTTTCGGATATTTTTCATATGTGGGTGTATTTTTATGTTTCCGGAGCTGTAGATTTTGAAAATGACCTCCATTTTATGATTACGCCACTGCGTTTTGACTTATTTAAGTTTTTCGAATTTATCCAATATTAAGGTCTACTTTTATGTTTCTTGAGCCGTAGATTTTGAAAATGACATCCATTTAATGATGACGCCATTGCATTTTGACTTATTTAAGTTTTTCGAATTTATCCAATTTAAAGGTCTACTTTTATGTTTTCGGAACCGTAGATTCTGAAAATGACCTCTATTTTATGATTACGCAACTGCGTTTCAACTTATTTAAATTTTTAGAATTTAACAAGTATAAAGGTCTAATTTTATGTTTCTGGAGCAGTAGATTTCCCCCATTTTGTAAATGACCCAATTTAAAGTTTATGCCACTGTTTTGGATTATAAAAGTTTTTTTTTTTACTTTTTCGGTATAAGGATCTACTTATATGTTATCCGAGACGTATTGAAATTTTTCTAATCTTTAATATTTAAATTTATCTAATATTTAAGCTCCATTTTATGATTAAGCCGCTGCATCTTGATTAATTAGGCTTCATTTTGGATTTTTTCAATACAAAGTTTCATCAATATGTTTTCGAGTATGAATAAATAAATAAATATTATGAAGCTAAAGTAAAATTAACCACAGAATACAAACTAAAAAGCCGAAAAGCAACTGGTAATAAATTTAACCTTCCGTATTCAGATTTTTCAGCTAATTGTTCGAAATCTTATAATTTTGTGATAGGAGACCACAACATTAAAAAAGATAACTAAAATTAAATTAAAAATGAGACAATACATATTTTATTTATTTTGATTAGATATTTTTATTTATTTATTGAAAAATAAATTAATCCTTCGTATTATGTTTTCTATTCGGAGGAAAAATCAAAAACACTTAACAAAACCGAAACACAGTGGACTAATCTTAAAATGTAAGTCATTTTAAAAACTAAGGCTCCGGCATCATAAAAGTAGACCTTTAAATTGGATAAATTCGAAAAACTTGAATAAGCCGAAACGCAGTGGCGTAATCTTAAAATGGAGGTCATTTTCAAAATCTACGACTCCGGAAACATAAGAATACACTCTTTTATGATAAAAATTCGAAACACTTAAAGAAATCGAAATGCGGTGGCCTAATCTTAAAATGGAGGTCGTTTTCAAAATCTACGGCTCCGGAAACATAAGAATACATCCTCATATGAAAAAATCCGAAAAACTCAAATAAGTCGAAACGCGGTGGCCTAATCTTAAAATGGAAGTCATTTTCAAAATCTACAGCTCCGGAAACATTAAAATACACCCTCATATGAAAAATATCCGAAAAACTCAAATAAGTCGAAACGCGGTGGCCTAATCTTAAAATGAAGGTCGTTTTCAAAATCTACGGCTCCGGAAACATAAAAGTAGACCTTTATATTGGATAAATTCTAAAAACTTAAATAAGTCAAAACACAGTGGCGTAAACATAGAATGGATGTCATTTTCAAAATTTACTGATCGGGAAACAAAAATACACCCACATATCGAATTTGTCAAAAAAACTTAAATGATTCGAAACGCAGTCACGTAATCTTAAAATGGAGGTTATTTTCAAAACTAGGTACAGGACAGCATAATACTAGTCCCTAAGAAATCCGAATAGGTACAATAAATCGATATCCGTAAGTGAAAATTCTACTTAGGAGAGCATAATAATAGACTTTCATATTGGAGGGGGGGAGGGGATGGCCATTTTTAAAAAAAAAAATATAAAATTTACAAAAACTTAAAACATTTATTTGAAATGAAAATGGTTGAATTTGAATTGGAAAAGGTTTAATTTGAAATGGAAATGGTTGAATTGACTTGGAAAAAGTTTGATTTGATCTGGAAAAGGTTGAATTTGACTTGGAAAAGGTTGAATTTGACTTGGAAATGACATAGAAATATCACACTGAAAAAATCTAAAATGTTAAAATAAATGGATATGCAACTGCGTAATCAAATGTTTTTTTGTATTTTTTAAAAGCTATGCCGTCGATAATATAGTAAGTGGCCTTCATTTCGAAAAAAAATCGAAAATTGACGAAAATTCTAAAGTTGAATTTGAAATGGAAAAGGTTGAATTTGACTTGGAAAAGGTTGAATTTGAAATGGAAAAGGTTTAATTTGACTTGGAAAAGGTTGAATTTGATTTGGAAAAGGTTGAAATTGACTTGGAAATGCTATATTTTTACTTTCACTTAACTATATCTAATATATAATAAGGGTAAGTATTGCGATCGTGAAAATTTTCGAGTCTGAGTTTTCTACGGAAATACACGTTTTGAGATCCTCTGAGTCCAAATAACCAAGTTTCGCAAAATGGTCTCTGTGTGTGTTAACAGTGTAGCTCCAAAACGAAAAGTCATACGAAAGTTAAATTGCATATTTAAGGATGTTACGGTAACTTTTTCGCCAAAATCGAAGTGGCACTTTATATTATGAGCTAAACACATTTTTACAATTTTCTCGGCAACGGCTCAAACGATTTTGGTTAAATTCATTATATCAGTGTAAAATTAAGCAGTTTTCAATAAACTGTAATTTTTATTCTGATTGAAGTTCTCTAACAGGACTTAAATGGCTAATTTTCAATATTAGCTTCCTCTAAAGTACATTTAATTTTTTTTATTTGAAACGATTGACTATTTCACATTAATTTCTAATATAAAAGATAGTTAAATACAAAACATGAAAGAATTTGATAATTAATTAAAGGAGAAATAAAAAGCTTATAACAGGCTTCCTTTCGTAACATGAGCTTAATATAATACGGATTCCGACTATATTATGTAAATATAAATGCGCGATTTTCATAAATGCAATTTTTGCTATTATTTAATATTTAATTCTATTGATTACACCGGTATAAATATTAAAATTTGTATATATAAGGGCACTTACATAAATAAAAATACCCACAATGAAATATAAATAATTATAGAGTCTATAATTTTTACTTTCACTTCTCCTGTCTTGTCTGAAAATACTTATTTCTGCAAAGATGGTGGTAAGTGAAAGTTGTGTGATGCGCGCACCGTACCGAATTACTTTATATCATCCGCACTTTATATATATACATATTTATATATACCGCACTTTACATCATCCATTTTGTATATTTTTATTATATTCTGCAAAATGGTGATTTCGTTTTTAATTCATTATATCTTGATAAAATTAAATAGTCTTTAATATTAGGCAGGTATTGAAATAGGCAGTTCATTGAAATAACCTGATGTCTTTAATGCTGAATTACAAAATTTCAGAATTTTGTTTCAAATCTGTAAAGCGTTTAACTTATATTAGTTTCAGTACTGTATTAGAACATCGAGTTTTCATGGCTTAATTTATACAGAATGCTAATTTAGCCAAGAAACAGTAAATAGCGATATGAACTTACCTTCTCAAAGTTCTATTTGATGACAATGGACAGAAGGAATGCATCCACAATGGAGTTTATATTTAATGTTGACGTCTCGAGGGAAAAACTGAAAAGACGAACTAATCACTTCCACTATCAGTAAAGATAATACACGTTTATGTAATATGCTGCTATTTTTTAAATGTTTGATTCACTAATTGGAAGTGAAATAGAATTGTTAAATAGGAAATTGCTGTGATGCCATGGCTCCTCCTCTCCTACAATTAAAATTTTTAAAAAATCGGTGCTTTGCAGCTCACAACGTGCCTCGAATTCCGTTAAATGCTAGAAATAATAATAATACATTGCTGTTTGGTCAACAGATATTTCGTGGAAAATAATTTCAGTGTTTGTAAATTAATTTAAAAAATAGGCTAACGTTTGTGAAAAAGGATAAGAATTAAGAAATGACTATTTTACATTTTAAAGACTTTAAACTAACTTGAAATAATAATTTATGTTGCTGTTAAAAACAAAAGTAAAAAAAATCTGGTGCGCACATCACACAAAACTTGCACTTACCTCTCTAATTTGAATAGAACTTGTTTTCTAGCAATGCTATTACAAAATTTTTGTAGTGAATTTTTAATGGAATTAAAGCTTAAAGCTTACAGCTGACAAATCATTAATACCAGTAAACCTAGAGTGTGAATGTGCTCTCTGAACACTATTATAAATGTCCTTAATTGTGACAGATTGTAATATCTCTCAATAAATATGTTTAAAAAAAAATAATAATAAAATTGTTGCAAAACTTTTATTTCTTGTTTTTCTATTATTTGGGATGTATTTTAATAAAACCAATTGCTTATACATACATTTTATTTATCAAAAAAATTAATTTGAAAAATACTGATTTTCCAATACTTTTTCTGGTAAATCGGTAATAAACTGTATTTTTTACCCAGACCTCTACAACAGGAATCGGTCCATATTTATAAGTAACTAACTAAATATTCCTGATCCTAATATTAACGTTTTAATTATAAAATAATTTAAGCAATCAGTAGGTTTTTTTTTTAAACATAAATTTTAGGACTAATATTTTTAGAAAAAAAATGTGTGTTTATGCAATCGGGTTTATTAAAAAACATCCAAGATCATGAAAAAATGGGCAATAAAAGCATTGCAACAATAAGTTGTCGTCATTTTTGCTGAAAACACTTGATTGACTGGATAGAAAATATCATATTTGTATACACTTTGAGCTTAATCACAAGTTTTCCCTTAATAAACCTCAACTTAAAGATTATTAAACGAAGACTTGTTTGTGGGATGACAGTAGTATAGTTATATAATGATAAAAAAAATAAAAATTGCGAATAATTTATGATTTTTTAAAAAACAGAACTCAGCTTAGTTTAGCCGCTCAAAATTCTTTGCGAAATGGTTTTAACAATGATAAATATTGATTTAAAGTAAATTTCATCTTGTTTACAATGAAGCAATTATTAATTACTTAAATTAAATGTTTCTTTAGTTATTGCTGTCGATTCAACAAAAAACACGACTCGTTTAAAAAAAACAACAACTTGGATATCCTACTGCTCTGCTGAAAATTGGCCTATTGTTTATATAAACTTTTTATAGCTCTTGAGATCTGCTACCGCTCATATAAAATTTCCCTCTACTTCCTGGACATCCTGTATACAGGAAATATAAAATAAACAGAAGTAAAATAACAACTAAATAATAATCAGAAAGTATACTCAATAAATTAAAATAAAACAATTTAAAGATAAGTAAATTAAAAAAAACAACACAGACATACCTATATACACTATTTAAAATTAGGTAAGAGTATTCCATTTTTATCTCTTCAACTATAGAGAGAAAAGTTGGACTCCAGGAGATCCCTGCGCTACTCTCTCAACTGTGTCACTGGTTCTAAAAGTAGGGGAGATCAAGCAATAGCGCTTCCACCACATTCACTCATTTATTTTTGTGTTATTAGATGTAATTTTATCCTCATAGATTCATTTAATTAATTGTATTAATATGCATTAACTGAAGAATAAAAATTTATTATTGAGCCAAAATATAAAACATGGAACAATATTGTATACTTTTATGTTAATGATATAGTTTGTGGATAATGCTTCATGTTTATTATTATTATATTCAGTTAGCTAATTAATGGACTAAACATAAACATGATAAACATAATGAGGCAATACTTAATGAAATTGATATATGTGGGTGTTTGTATTCCTTAAAACTTATGTTAGCGATATAGTCTTGTATTGTTTAGTTATATCCAAATTTGTAAAATATTCTTAGGCTCTTAGGGCCCGCAAGGGTGTTCAAAACAATTTTGACTTCAATTTCAACAATCCCTCGACTTTTCACTTTTATTTAAATAACTCATTTAATTAACATTTTGCATGTTCAAGACTCTCTGTATATGTTGTTACTTAATTAATTATAAATCCAATGACATAAAATGTGTTAGGAGGCATTCTGAAAAAAGAAAAACCAAATTTTTATTCAGACAACTTTTCTTTAATTTAGATAAAATATTTTTTAGTCCATGGACAGATGATTACAAATTTCAAATTAACTTTATTTACATAGGCATCTCCATAGTCTCCTAATTTAACATTTGTACAATAGCTAAGCTATTTCTTATAGGTAACAATTATAACTATGGACTAGTAGTTTAATAATAATAAATAAATGACAATCTAAACAGACATACAAAAGTTAGAGTACTATTATATAATAGTTGGAGTATTTATTATAATTGACAATTATAATGTTAACAATACAATCAATTATAATAAATATAAATGATTAGTAATACAATATATCATACAATGTTTATGATGGTATCTTTTACTAATAGTATAAACATAAACATAGCTGAATTGACTGATACAAACATGGATGTATCTTTTTAATGATAATTTTCATTTTTGAATAATTTCAATAATTTATTTATAACAATTTAACAATTATTTATTAATTGTACTATAAGATAGGACTCTCTTAATTGTTTTGCTTGATTTATTATAACAATAATTTCACAACTAATCTGTATAAAACCATGATTTAAAGGTGAATCTTGTTAACATTATGATTTTTATTTTGAATAATTTATTTAACCTTAAACTACAATTTTAATAATTTATTTAAAATTAATCATGCCGATTATTTATAAATCTAAAACTCCAAACATCTTACTTAGATTTGGGAATACAAAAGTTTGACATGATAGTGAACTATTCACAAGTTTGTTTCAGAAATATGTTATATTATTTGTTTTATTTAAATATTTTAATTTTATATTTTAATTATTGGATTGCAATTGAAAAAAAAATTGTTTATAATTCGAATTGCTAGTAGCTTTAGTTCATGTATTGTTAATAGTTGGTATTAATTGGTTTTCTATTATCATAATGTGTAGTGTAATAAAGACGATAAATAAATAATTAGCTTATTTATATTTTAATAACAATTTGAATATTTCTAAAAACATTTTTTTTTTTTTAATCTCAGTACAAAAGATGGAAGAAGATATCCATAATCAGTTAACTATCTAGTGACCAATTCACTCAAAGATCGCTTTTGCTGTTTTTGACCAAATAAAGGATGGATACAGTGGCCCACCTCTGTATCAGGTGCTTTCCCCACTCCTATCCGTTCCCCCACCACTACCCATCTTCCCCCACTCCTTAGCTGAGCTTTGTCGTTCAAAAGTCCTCTTTAAATAGTTTTAACAAAAGCAAACTCTATTTTTATTTAAAGTAAATTTTGTCTAGTTTACAGTGAAGCAATCGTTAATTGGTTAAATTAAATAGTTTTTTGTTATCATTTCTTATTCAACAAAATACGTGACTCACATCGAACTCAAATCGAACCATTATTTATATAAACTTTTTTATATTTATTGAGTTCTGCTATTACTTCTTTAAATGCTTCCTTCTACTTAGGAGACGCCCTGTAGATAGGTTTAAACATGTAAAAAACGGGTCACCAAGAGAAAAAGAAAAAAAATCCAGATTTATCTGATCTTTTTTTTTTCGTATATTACTGCTAAAGAGTGCATCAAAACGAAAAACGCATTCTTTAAGAAATTAAAGAATTTGAAATTGTGCGTCGAACGAGTACCTAAACTTGATAATTTGATTAATTGAGAATGGTAGATAACCACGGGGTCAATGAACGCCAATTTTTACTGACATGGTCAAAATCATAGAAAGATTACTATAAATGCCCGTGCAGCTTGGAAATGAGTTCTCTAAGAAAAAAAAAAAGTATAATTTCCTATTCTGATCATAATCTGATTGCGATCAAGTCGGAGACCAAATAGTTAGTACCTTCCTTCATGAAAACGTTCCCAACAGTTAAAATTTTCAGACCTTTTAATATTGATATTTTTTAGCAAACGAACACGGCGAGGAATTTATACTGAACTTGCTTGGCAGACGTTTTTAAAATAGTTAAGTGGACAATAAATTAAAAGAAAAAGAAAAAGTGAAAACTTCACAATTTGCTGATAGAAAAAATTAATCTTTAACTGTTGCGTATATTTGTCAGTTCTTTTTCCATTTTTTTCAACAAATTTATTATTTTCGCAATACTTTTTCTAAATTTTTGTAAGTAGTAGACTTATATTTTTTAAACTTTTGTTTAAACAATTTTCAGACTCTAGGAAGTAATTATTATATCTCCATTTTTCTCTTGATATCCCATGCTATAAAGGATAATGGGTGAACAAGCCTTTTTAATGAAACACATTATTATAAGTGGAAAATGTGCCAGATCCTGTAATCTGATCGTCAACTGAACTAAAATGCGTCACTATGATTGAACGTGTAAGGGATTAGTCAGTTATTTCTTATTGATCAGTGGCCTTGTTCTAGTCTCTTCCAGTCAAGGAAATTCTCCAAAAACAGACTTCAGAAAGCTTTGATTTTAGTCAGCGTTTCTATTTGTAATAAAACTGCAAAAAGTCTGTTTCAACTGTGGAATCCGTCGAAATCAAGCCAATTACAGTTCCATAACAGATTGAAATGCAGAAGAATGAATTGATTTAAGTAGTGAATATGGACGTTATTTTTATCTTTCAAGAATCAC